TGTGCTCTCCAAACCCAAGGTAGGGGAGACCCTCTACCTCTACCTCGGGGTTAGCCCGGCGGCCATCAGCTCTGTGCTCATCCGGGAGGAAGACGGCATCCAACATGCCATCTTCTACGTAAGCAAGACCCTAAGGGAGGCCGAGCTCAGGTACTCCCCTGTGGAAAAAACGGTGCTAGCCATCGTTTGGACTGTCAAGAAGTTGGGCCACTACTTTCAGGCTCACCCGGTTCAGGTCCTCACCCATCAACCCCTCGGCGCCCTCATGAGGAGCCCCACCAGCTCCTCTCGCATGGTGAAATGGGCTATCTTCTTGAGCCAGTACAACATTGACATCCGCCCAAGGCCCGCCATCAAGGGCCAAGCCCTGGCGGACTTTGTGACGGAGTGTACCGCAAGGGCAGCCATGGACGGGGAGCCCTCGGCTACCTCGGACGACTGGTGGACCCTCTACACTGACGGCTCCTCCGCGACCAAAGCATGCGGGGGAGGGGTAGTCCTCATTACTCCCGAGGGCTTCAGGGCCTACTATGCAATCCGCTTCTCCTTCAAAGTCTCTAACAATGAGGCCGAATATGAGGCCCTCCTATGTGGCCTTCGGCTGGCTGCCAACATGAGGGCTCGGCAGATCCACATCAAATGCGACTCCAAGTTGGTCGTTGGCCAAATCTCCGAAGAATATGAGGCCAAGGAGGGGAGAATGAAACAGTACAAGGAAGCGGCCAAGGAGTTGCTTAAGGTATTTGAGGCACACTCTCTCACTCAAATACCGAGGGCTCAGAACTCCGAGGCCGACATATTATCTAAGCTCTCGGCCGACTCCCCCGAGCACATCTCCAAAATTGCCAAAATCGAGGAACTCAGTCTCTCAAGCATCCATGCAAGCCCCGTTATGAACATACAACAACGTCAGGAGGATTGGATCTCAGATATCACCACCTTCATCTCCACAGGGCAGCTACTCGAGAATGAGGCCCGCGCTAAACTGGCAAAGCTGAGGGCTCCCAGCTACACCATCGAAGATGGGAGGCTCTACAAACGATCTTACAATGGCACGCTACTTCGGTGCCTTCATCCAGATGAAGCCGAGGTCGCAATGGAGGAAGTGCACAGTGGCACTTGCTCAGCTCACCAGGGACCCTTCTCCATGTCCCGAAGGCTCATTCTCCAGGGCTACTTCTGGCCAACCATGGCCAGGGACTGTGCTGACCTTGCCGGAGGTGCACCGCATGTCAACATTTCCAGAAAGCTCCCGGCAGGCCAGCGGTCAACTATTCCCCCATCAGCACCTCTGTCCCAATTTCTCGATGGGGGATAGACCTTGTGGGCCCTCTTCCGAGGGGTACCTCCAACAACAGATACATCATTGTGGCCGTCGACTATTTTACCAAGTGGGTGGAGGCTGAACCCCTCGCCAGCATCACAGAGGCGAAGTGCCGTCACTTCGTCCTCAAGAACATCCTCACAAGGTTTGGCGTCCCCTAGCAGATCATCTCCGACAATGGGACACAATTTGAGGCAGCCCCCTTCTGTGCCCTTCTGGAGGCATGGGGCATCAAACACACCTTCTCCTCCGTTGCCTACCCTCAAGGCAACGGGCAAGTAGAGAACGCCAACCGGACCTTGCTCGAGGGCCTCAAAAAGAAGCTGGAGGCCAAGGGTGGTGGCTGGGTGGAAGAACTTCACAACATCCTTTGGGCCTACCGCACCACCCCTCGGCGAGCTACAGGTGAAACACCATTCTCCCTCTGCTACGGTTTTGAAGCCAAAGCTCCTACGGAAGTCACCCTTCCTACCCGAAGGGTGATCCAATATGACCCCGAGGTCAACGACAGCAACATGGCCCTCGACCTCCACCTCATTTCAGAACGCCGGGAGCAGGCCTTCATCCGGGCAGAAAACTACCGAAGGCAAGTTAAAAGCTACATCGACGCCAAAGTTCGCACCCGAGAATTTCAAGTGGGGGACTATGTCCTCCGGAGGAGGGAAGCCAGCTAACCAACCGAGGGAGGAAAAATGGCACCAAAATTCGAAGGCCCCTACATCATAGCAGCCATCATCAGACCCGAGACCTACAAGCTCAAACGCCCCAACGGGAAAGAAGTCCCTAGGCACTGGAATGTACACCACTTAATTAAATTTTATCAATAATGTAAGAGCGGCCAAGCCCTCATAACTAGTGAATGTACTATCCTATGGCCCAAGGCCTCCAATTTCGAAGAATGAAGATACATTCAAGACATCAAGCCCTCATACTGGCTACAGGCCCCAGGCCTCACCACGAGAAGAACCCCCTCCGGCACCAAGTGCCGAGGGCGGACGCCATCAACACCTACAACATCAGTAAAAACACCACGTGTTTTCAGTCAGGACCCCTCGGTACCAAGTGCCGAGGGAAGGAACTCCTATCACCAACAACAGGAACGCCATGTGTTTCATTTCCCTTCGGCACCCAGTGCCGAGGGTACATCCCCACCTTCAACGTCAAAAAAGAAAAGAAAAGAACACCAAGTGTTCCTACAGAAGACCCTTCGGCACCCAGTGCCGAGGGTACACCTCCATCATCAAACATCGAAACGAAGAAAAATGTTCCAAAGAAGACCCCTCGGCACCCAGTGCCAGGGATATGCTCTCCTATCAACTTCCAAACATCTGTTGGGAAACACCAAGTGTTTCATTTAAAGACCCTTCGGTACCAAGTACCGAGGGTAGACGCCTACGTCAACTACGACAAAAAAGAACACCAAGTGTTCCTACAGAAGACCCCTCGGTACCAAGTACCGGGGGCTACACATCGAAACTAACACCAAGTGTTGTTTCTAAAAGCCGTACCCCACGAGGACGCATATACCGAAGGCGCCACCATCGGTGCCGGCGGCACGTAGTGCCCCCGGCCATTTGCAACTAGTGTGCAAATGAAAACCCTTCCTTGAAACGCTTTCCGCGTCACTACCCCCAGGGTATGACAGGCATGAGAAATGCCCAGGATTCGACTTTCAAAAACGGAACGCTATCCGCGTCACTACCCCCAGGGTATGACAGGTATGAGAAATGCCCAGGATTCGACTTCCAAACCGAAACGCTCCCCGCGCCACCACCCCAAGGGTGTGGCAGGCCACGGACTATGTCTAGCGCCGAGGGGACGACTTTCAAAAATGAGGCGCTTTCCGCGCCATCCCCCAAGGGGAGGCAGGTTACGGACCACCATATCTTGTGCCCAGGAAACGTCCCTCGATCCCCTCGGAACTCGGAAGGTTAACCCGAGGGAGGAGAGCCATTGGTGTATTCTGATGGTCTCCTAATAGGCCCAGCCTTACCAAGAAACCAAGTTTCTTGATGCCTTCCCTTCACCACCAACCAAAAAAAAAAGGGGGGGGGGGGTGAAGGGGAGTAGACTCAGCGAGAAATCAAAGAGTACACTCCAACAGATCACAACAAGCCGAGGGCTCCCCACGGGAACACCTCCGGTAACTGAAGGCTCCTATTTCCCGAAGGACACTACTCGAACAAATAGCAGCAAGGAACGGCTAAGTCCACTGCCTGGTCACCTCCGGTCACACAAACACCGAAGGCTCCAACAATACAAAGGGACTGGACTATCCAAAGTACACTAAGACGGTACCTTCAAATATGTACCGAAGGCCCCTACCCCATTACAAGGGACATAACTGGCTGAGTCGAACTCTACAACTCCTCAGAGTGTATGCCCGGCACACACTCCTCATTGGCTTTCTTCACAACAACAGGATTCAACATCAACTTACGCAAAGTAATGTAGAGTCAGAGGGCACCTATCACCCGAAGGCTACACAAGGAAACAGCACTTGAAATAATTCTAAGTCCTAAAGATTGGGCCCCGGGCCGAATCAGCATTACAGCCAAGGGAATATGGTAGCCGAAGGTCATGCAATACAACAACACTTGAAAAAATATATTCTGTCCTAAATGAGCAGCCCCTGGGCATCTGGCAAAGTGATGTGGAGTCAGAGGGCACCTATCACCCGAAGGCTCCCAAGGGAAAATCTACACTTAGAATATTTTCTAAGTCCTGCATATTTCCCCCCCGGTCAACTACTCATACATCAAGGAGGGATGCCATCTCCCGAAGGCTCCCAAGGGAAAATCTACACTTAGAATATTTTCTAAGTCCTGCATATTCCCCCCCCCCCCCCCGGTCAACTACTCTTACATCAAGGAGGGATGCCATCTACCGAAGGCTCCCAAGGGAGATTTTACACTTAGAATATTTTCTAAGTCCTACATTCTTTTCCCCGGTCAACTACTCATACATCAAGGAGGGATGCCATCTCCCGAAGGCTCCCAAGGGAGATTTTACAGTTAGAATATTTTCTAAGTCCGGCATATCCCCCCCCCCCCGGTCAGCTACTCATACATCATGGAGGGATGCCACCTCCCGAAGGCTCCCAGGGGAAACTCTACACTTAGAAGATTTTCTAAGTCCTACATATTTCACCCTCATCTCGAGGGACCTAATTGCCGAAGGCTACCTATCAATCGAGGGCTACAGTTCACAAGGAATCAACACTCAAGAAAATTTTCTAAGTCCTAGAGAATTGGCCCCCGGCCCATTCAATATTTCAGTTGGGGCTCCACAGTAGCCGAAGGCTACATGGCATACTACACTTGCAAAAAATCTCTAAGTCCTGTGCATTGGGCCCTCGGTCCAACATTCACACATCAGGAAGGGACGCCGTATCCCGAAGGCTCTCAAGGGGGAATCTACACTTAGAAAATTTTTCTAAGTCCTAGGAATTGGGCTACCACAAACACCCGAAGGCCCCATGCTGTGCTACACTTAGAAAAATTTTCTAAGTCCTAATTCCTGCTGAACCCTCGGTTCATATCCAGCAGAGGGTGCCCAACTACCGAAGGCTTCCAAGGGCAAGTTACAATCGAAACATATTCTAAGTCCTAAAACATACATTCAAGAAGTAGGAGGCATACATTCAAAACATAAGGCGCATTCAAATGTAAAAAGCCCCGGGGCAGCATGCATTCATAAAAAACAGAGTAAGTGTGAAATTTACAAACAGGCCGAAGCCGAAGGATCAAAGTTGTTCATTACAAAATATGTTCAAGGATTTTTAAATACAAAGTCACTCTACAACTACAACAGCATCATTCACCGGGGCGCCCTCTGCAGCCGGCCTCGATGATGCCTCCGCTCCGGTCTCGACAGCGTCGTCCTCGGCCTCATTCTTCAACTCCGTGTCCTCAAGGTCGGGCCTCTGAACACCTTCCGGGAGCGACTCACGGACATCAGGTTGCAGGGGAGGAAGGCCATACGCCGAGGGGGAGAAGTCCTTTTGCTCAATGCCCAAATGTCGGGCCATCCTCCGGTAGATGAGGGCCTGGGTGAAGAATTCGCCGGCTTCATAGTACTCTCTGCCCTTCCGGGCCATCCATTCCCACCCAGGGCCCTCGGCCCATTCCTCGACGTGTGCCTCCACAACCGAGGACAGCCACATCTTGCGTCCCTCGGCCCTCCAGCCCTCGGCGACGAAGGCATCAACGGCTTCCTCCCGAGCCTTGGCAACGGCCAGCGCCTTGGAGTCCTCGGCCTCTTTGGCAGCCCTCCTGGCCTCCTCAGCAGCGGCCTCAACGTCGGCCTTGCCCTTCTCTGCGGCCTCCAATCTCTGCTCCATTTGCCGAAGCTCCTCTTCCAGCCTGGCCCCCAGCTTCACCGCCTCTTTATTTTTGAGGATGCATTCTTTCATCTTGGCATCCTGCTCGGCTTTATGGAGGCGCCATTCTTGAAGCCTCCGGGCATGTTCACCGAGGGCTAGACAAGCCTGCAGACCAACAACCAAAATTGTTAAAAACAATTGCACAATATAATCAAAGGAGAAAAGGAGAAAAGCTGAGTAAACACTTACAGAAAGGGAGGAGCGGAGGATGTGGTCCTCGAGGGCCGCATCGTTATAAGCCCCGAGGGCAGCCCTATCAGTCTCAGGGGTTATGCCCCTCAAGATGGCCCCCGGGTCGACAGCGCCGCTGGCCAGGGATGTCCCCCTCGGGAACGAGACTTGGAGGACCTCAGGCAGCAACTCCTCTGCCCCCCGCCGGCGTTTCACCCGACGGCTTCTCCACATGCACCCCGGAGACGGGGTGCTCATCAGCGATAATGACCGGGGGCTCCTTCTCGGCGACATCCCCCTTCTTCGGCTTTTTGGTAGCCGGGGGGGACCCCTTGGTCGCTGCCTTCCTCTTGCCGGCAGCGGCATCGCCCTCGGCTTTCTTAAAGAGGGCAGTGGCGGGCTTCTGGCTGCCCTGTCCCGACCCCTTCGGGTCCCGTTTCTTCAAGCGAGCAAGGCCCTTTACGTTCACCATAGAGACGGGGATACCTGCACAAAGGAGACAAAGGGTTAGTCCGACGGGTCTAAGCGAAGGGACAATAACATCCAAGCAAAAAAAAAACTAAGTACAAAATTCTAAATCCCTCGGCTCCTACCTCCGGCCCCTCCGAAGGCCTTGTTGAAGGGAGGGTACTTTTCATCGGTCTCCCCTATGAAGCGGTACCTCCGGAACCCGAGGGTGTATAAATCCTCCTCGAGGGTGCAGTCTTTGATCGCCACGTTCTTATTTTTCCCCTCCGGGAACTTGGCCAGCTTTAGGCCGTCTTTCTCGAGAGCGGCACTCCTGATCTTTTCGTGCCTTCGGAATCGATCACGCAGCTCCCTCGGGAATGGGCTCTCATCCAACTTTACGTAGCACCAACGTTCCCTCCATCCTTTGTTGGAAGAAGGAGCATCGGAGAATAGTTTGAAGCGGGCAATCTGCTGCAGGTTGGCGTACCCCTCGCCGTTTTCGTGCCCCCCCCCCCCCCCCCCCCCCGACATAAATTAAAGCTCTGGAAGAATAGATCCAGGTTGGGCTTCACCCCTCGGGACTTGCAGAGCTGGAGGAACCCCGCAATGTAGGAGTGGCTGTTGGGCGTGAGTTGGCAGGGGACCAAGCCAACAAACCTCAAATATTCCCGGAGGAATGGGTGCAGAGGGAACCTAAGTCCCATGGAAACCGAAAGGACGTGAATAGCGATACACCCCTCGGGCGCCCTGGACAACACGTCGTCGGGACCTGGCTCCACCACTTCGGCCGAAGGCCCCACGTGCAGCTGAGTCACGTACAGACCTGCCCTGTCAGCCTTCGACCTGATCTCGAGGGCCTCAGTGTTCAGCCAACTGTACCCCTCGGGCATGTCCACGGGCTTTCCTTGATCGACGGCCCTCTCCTTCTTCTTGGTAGCGGCCTTCTTCTTCTTCAAACCGGAAACCGCCCTCAGAGGTATCGGATCCAACGGCCTCGAGCTACTGGCCTCCCCGGAACCCCGAGGGGGGAGAACAGCATTCGTAACCTTCGAGCTCTCATTCTGTGCCTCATCCTCCGCTGTTTGCCATGCGAGGGCTAAGTCTTCATCCTCACACTCCTGCTCGAAGCCCTCGGCTTCGACCTCCGCAATGAGTTCCTTCTGGACCTCCCGGGCCAGGACGGCATCAGCACCGTCCGAGGGCTGGCCACTGCTGGACTCCACGTCGGAGATGCCCTCGTCCTCCATCGAGGGCGTCCTCGAGATGTCCTGAGAGTCACTCTGAGATGACATTCTATCTCTAGCTCGAGGGTTCGGGGGAACTAAGGTTTCTAGTGAATTCTATCTCCTAAACCGAGGGCGCAACGTACAGCTATACTAGAAGGAGAAAGGCAGGGAGCACTGACCTCGAAAGCTGAGTTAGGACCGAAGGCTTGAGTTTCTCTCACTAGATTTTTTGGCAGAGCTTCGCTAAGACAACTGAGTTCGCACAGGGAAAATGGCTCTGGCCTTGGGGTATTTATAGGCGATGAATCCGGGCTTGGGCCTGGATTCCGGGCCTCCGGACGGACCGCCATCATTACACACCGCCGTTTCACCCAACCGGTGACGCCGCCCACGAACAGCCAGCAATCACACGCCACGTGTGCCACCCCCCCCAACGGCTATATCCTGTCGTTACATATTCCAACGGCTATATTTCCAACGGCTATATTCTGGAAGCCCCCGGGTTTTCTACTTCACTCCACTTCATCAAGGATAGCCTCCGGGTACACTCACTCAGAAGTGCCCCCGGGTTGTGCCCCACAAAGCACATAACACACGCCTTCGGGATCACTCCTTCAGAAACCCAAGGCTTCATATCAGGGCACCCCTCGGAAATTCCCCCCCAGCACTGCAAAACCGGGTAGCCCCCGGGGAGTTCCTCATTGACGGATGGCCCCTGGCACACAGGTAATGGGGAGCCCTCGGGTATCTTCATCACCAACAAATCAACAAACAGCGGACCCCCCCGGTAACAACTGCACTGCCGCCCTCATCTGGCAGGCCCTCGATCCCTGGATTGAGGGACTCCCCTTCGGCGCCACCAGGACATCAACAGCAAGCCTTCGGCTAATCAACACAGGAGCCCTCAGAAGAGAGAGCCTTCGGCATTCCCGTCATTCTCCATTTTTACCAAGGTTTGACATTTTCGATTCATCATTGGGGGAATTCGGTGCACTCTTTTTCCCTCATTAGGATTTTTTCCCAAAGGGTTTTTCCTAATGAGGTTTTTAACGAGGCATCCCCCCAAAATGAAACGAAAAGCGTCAGCCTTCGGCCCGCAACAGCAACACAACTACTCTACTCCTTTTCACCACTTTACAAGTGCCTCAAGGAGTGGGGGACTGGAGGACCCCCTCGGGAAAATCATTAAATTACAAAATCTGTGAAATTCCAACAAACAACAAAGCAAGCCCTCAAGTCCCGACATGTGGGTAACTGAGGGACTGCCTTCGGCAGGGACATAAAAGCAACAACTCCTCACCAACTTCAGAGATCACGACGGGACAACATCAAAGGGCAAGCACAAATTACTCCTTTTCCCTCAAGTACCTTTCGGCAAAAGGAGTGAGGGACTCCTGATGGAGTATATGGCCCGGGAACCCCCGGTCCACAGACTCCTACTACTCCGGCAAAGGCCCAACAGGCCCAAATCACAGCGCCCAGAGTACCAAGCAGCCCGCACTACACGCCAGGGGTGCCTTCGGCCCCCTGGCCGAAGGCTCTAAATTCTCACAGAGCGGGTTCCTCAAGCAAATTAAGAGACTGGGAGAAAACGGCGAAAACAGTAGCCCTCGGCACTGTGAGCCCTCGGCACCAGGGTGCCATCGGGTGGAAGAGCCCTCGGCTACTGCTCTATAGCCGAAGGCATCTCACTCGACAAGATATCCGCCTCACATGCGTACAGATCACCGTACCCCGCGCAGACGTCCCATCCAACAGCTGCATTAAATGCGGCCACATGCGGCTGCCAGCGCCAACCAGTTGAGGTGACCCCTCGGCCAATGAGCGCTTGACACGTGTCCCTGCCCGTCATTTATTGCTACTATAAATAGCACCTCATTTCCTCATTTGTAACGACGCTGAAAATGGCATTCATATTGAATACACTCTCTCTCTACTTTTATTTACTTGCTCTGACTTCTCCCTAAATTACTCCCCGTAATAACCCTTCGGATATATACCCCCGGGTAGACTATCCATCAAGTACTACTCATACCAACAAGATGCATCTCCTTTTAAGGGAGCTCATCACCAAGAACTCCAAAGTTAAGCGTGCTTGCACGGGAGTAGTCTTGGGATGGGTGACCCCTTGGGAAGTTTCTCAGGGCACGCACGAGTGAGGACAAAGTGTGCGGAAAAGGCTAGTGGCGGTTTGTGAGGACACTACTAGAGGTCAGAAGTAACTACCTTGGGGCCTACGGGGCCGGGGTGTTACAAATGTGGCCTTCACGCCCCTGCTCCGGCAAAGAGAGAGGAAACCAGCCAAGTAAGAGTGGCTATTTTGGGGTCAACTGGCAGGGGGCGAGTTTGACGATGCGAAGGTATTCAATCACGAAGGGGTGGAGGGGAAATCAGAGACCCAACTCCACCGAGAGCATATGTACAGCAAAGCAGCCGGCGGGGGCATGCAATAGCACATCATCTGGCCCCGACTCCACCACCTGCGCCGAGGGCCCGACCAAAAACTTAAAACTATGTCGCCATGTACTCCCCCTGTGTGGCTCTGGTTTTCACCTCTAAGGCAGCTGTGTTCAGGTAGGAATAGCCTTCGGGAATGCCAACTGGTGCCCAGCGTCGACAACGGCCTGTTTCTTCTTCGAAGCAGCCTTCGCTTTCCTCTTCCTCTCCGGGGCCACCCTGAGAGGCGTCGGGTCTAGAGGCCTAGACCTGCTGGCCTCGCCAGCATTACGCGGGGGAAGGAGGGCGACGGTAACTTGCATCCTCTCTTTCTCCTCCTCTTCGGCGGTCTGTATCGCGACGACAATCTCCTCATCTTCTGCCACTTGCTCGAAGTCCCCCGCCTCGGCTTCTGCCACCAAATCCTTCTGCACCTCCAGGGCCAGAGCAGAATCTCCATGGGATGAGGCCTCTTCACTTGTTGACCCACCATCCGACCAAGTCTCTTGCTCAACCGAGGGCTCTTCAGAGATGTTTTGTGAATCACTGGCCGACGACATTCTTGGGGTCTAGAAGTAGAAGGGTTCTTAAGCTGAGGGCTTCCTAAAGAACCCTAACACCTAATCTAAGGCCGGAAAAGCAAAATATGCAACAAATGTGAAGAACGGTGGAAGAACTGACCTCAGAAAGGATGATTTGATCAAAGGTAGGTGTTTATCTCTCTAGAAAATTTGCCAGAGTTTCGCTACAACTTCAGAACACACAAAATCAAAGGAGGTCCGCCTTGGGGTATTTATACAACTTCATCATTACACACCGTCGCTTCAGCCAACCGATGACACTCGCCCGCGGACATCCAACGAACACGCGCCACGTGGAAACCCTCTTCAACGGTCATATTCCAACGGCTATTTTTCGGAAACCCAGAGGTGCCTCCCAGTTGACACCCTTCGTGCAACAATTGAGCCAGCCCTCGGGCTATCATATTCAAATCCTTCATCAACAGAAGCCCCCGGTTTAAAAGTCAGGGAACCCCCTCGGTTGCCCTTAGCCCCCAATATATTGAGAAGCAGGAACCCCTCGGCAATACAGGAACTATCATCTGCATTCATCACGCCCTCAGTCCTCAATGACTAGGGGATCCCCTCGGCATCCCGGGGATGTCAACAAGGTACCTTCGGCAAATCAACAAGCAAGCCCCCAAATCAATGGTAGCCTTCGGCATTGGCAATACACTCAGACGAAGGGTTAACCTTTTCGATTCATCATTGGGGGAATTCGGTGCACTCTTTTTCCCTCATTAGGATTTTTCCCCACACGGTTTTTCCAAATGAGGTTTTTAACGAGGCATCCCCCCAAAATGAAATGAAAATA